AATAATATAACAAACATCCTGTACCCACTACCCGGAAATTCCTTTAGGAAATAGAGAAGTTCAGAAACAGCCAAAACCCAAGAAGAAGAGTTTAGTAGACAGATTCTGCCTAACCAGAGTCTTCCTGACATATCCCAAAGTCAGCTCAGGATTTTTTTTTTTTTTTTTTTTTTTAAAAGATGACCGGTAAGGGGATCTTAACCCTCGACTTGGTGTTGTCAGCACCACGCTCAGCCAGTGAGCGAACCGGCCATCCCTATATGGGATCCGAACCCGTGGCCTTGGTGTTATCAGCACCGCACTCTACCGAGTGAGCCACAGGCCGGCCCCAGCTCAGGTTTTTGAAGTAAGAGAGTTTAGGGCTGATCAGGTGGTTAAATGTAACACCAAGGTCGTGGTTCCAATTCCCCATATTGGCCAGCTGCCAAAAAAAAATTTTTTTTTGTTTTGAAGAGTTTTGATTTTAGATTGATGCTTAGGCACGCAGACACCTGGCCAACGTTTGCAGCATCAGACATCAAATCAGCGTGCAGTTTCTGGACAAAGGGCTGTTTCACTTAGTCAACCCAAATGAGCCCATCTCTAAGACAATAGCTCCCTAAACTTCCTACATCCAATGCCCTATCCTGGCCCACTCAGGGAGATTCTACGTTGGGGCACAGGAAACAGTATTTTAGATAAGTGTCTTTAGGTGATTCTTCAGTGGCAGAAGCCAATGCTTGAAGTAGTAAAGTAACCTGTCAACCTATGTCATCTGTTGGGATAATAACAGAACCTGACTCGTAGGTTTGCTATGAAGATTAAATAAACACACATACATAAATACATACAGAAACTGCTTAGCACAAAGTCTGGCATATAAGAAGCACTTAATAATACTTACAAACAATAATAAATGTTCACTGAGTACCTCTTGAGTGTAGGCTATGGTACAAGGGTCTGCAAGGAATTCTTTTTTTGTTTTGTTTTGTTCTATTTTAAGTATCCTTATTGCTTTGCCACTATTGGTCTAGTATTTTATTACTATCACCAGAAGCATTCCTTGTACTCCAGGTGCTTCAAGAGTTCTCTACTCATAATTCCAACTTATGTACATTCTCACTTGTTTGACCCAAAAACATCTACAACTCAGTAGGAGATTTTTATTGTACGTATAAGTAACTTATATTTACTCTCAAATTCTTTTCTCTATATATCTACATCTATCTATATATCTATATCTGTATATCTATGTACTGAATGCTTGATAGACTCTTCTTGAATTTTCTGTCTTTCTGGGTTTTTTTGGTGGCTGGCCAGTAAGGGGATCGGGACCCTTGACCTTGATGTTACAACACCACTGTAATCAACTGAGCTAACCAGCCAGCCCTGGAAGGAATTCAAAGGCATATATCAACTGCTCCATGAAGGCAGAGACCGTTTTTGTCTTATTCACCCAGCCAATGCTCTACACAGAGCAGACACTCAAATAATACTTGTTGAATAAATCAGTAAAAAAAGTGACCTAGACCTTCAAGAAAACTACAATATGGTTGTATTGTAAACAGTATAAGAAACTGGGTAAGACCCAATAATTTATTAAACTACTAGGCAGTGGACAGAGAGCTAATTAAAAGTCTAGGGTCTGAGTCCCACTTTTGCCACTCACCAGCTATGTGAAATCTACCTGGTCAGTTTACTCCTTGAGCCTTATTTTTATCCTCTCTGGGCATTAGGTTATCTGGGTACTCCCTAAGGACCCTCCCACCTCTGTCTATTACCAAGAACAAGACAGGAGCTGCAGGCAGGGGAGGCGGAGTACAGTGGGCTGTGTGGTTGGTCAGGAAGGCTTCAAGAGGGCTTGGGTGGAACCTCCCAGAGAAGGAAAGAAGAGGGTAGGGGCTCTCCTGGTATAAAGGAAATGGCATGAGGAACAAGACAGGTAGAAGTAGTCAGCCCAGTCTCCAACCTCTGCCACTGAACCAAAGCTGGAAAACCAACTACCATCAATGCTACCTATCAAGTGGCCCAGAATCCAGTGAAAAACTTAAGCTTGCTTCCCAAATGGGCTCATCTCTTTGTAAAATATATTTTCCTTTGAAAGTTATTGACTTGCCTCCTGAAAAACCAGAACTTCATACTTGAAAACCCAATCAGGAGTTCAGGGAAGATGGCAGTAACTCTAAGACTTTCTCACACCACATTTTTGACTTCAACTCTTCCTAACACTGCCCCCAAATCCCTGTCTCTCTGCCATGGATCAGATACTCCCAAAGGCACATTTGACTCCTTTCAGCTCTACCCTATCTCACCCTGGCAGCTGTAGCATGAAATATTCAAAGGACAGGCCAAGAAACCCCTCGGTTAAGAACCAGGGCTGGCCAGTTAGCTCAGCTGAGTAGAGTGTGGTGCTGATAACATCAAGTTCCAGGGTTTTATCCCTGAACCACCCAACCACCAAAGCACAAAAAAGAATCCACCTCTGCAGTCTTTACTGAGAATGGAGAACCAAGGGCTGATTTGAATTCTTGTATCTTCCTACAGCCGTTCCCTTTTAAATATTTATCCTGGCAAACACCACCACCATTTTTACAACTTATTTTGTGTGACTATTAAGCAAACCAAACCATAAAACCAGCTCTCGCTGCTGAGATCTATGTGATTCATAGATCAGAGCTTATTACAAAAGTAAATCCACTGATAAGAAACTAGCCTCATGAGTGCCCCTCACCATTTCTAGGAAGGTTTGAAGCCATTTCCCTATTCCTGCCTGTGGCTCCCAAGCTTCCACAGTGAATAGCACAGAAAATGAACAGAATCTATCATTTCTCCATGGCCTTCTTTCTTAACAATCCTGATGAATCTAAACTGGAATCAGGAACAGTACAGTCTTAAAGAGGGTGGAAAGCTCTGAGAGTTTCATTATCAGGATCAATACCTGGGAGGATTTATCATCAATGTCTCAGGAAAGGACTTAATCATGGAATTTGAACAGCCAGGAATAGGCATGAGGTATCCTGATTATTCACCACCAATGTAGTTCTTGATTTGGACCATACAATTGCTTTGAGACTCAAATAAAAGCTTTCCCCCAAAACGCACATACATAGAAACATTTATATAAAATTTCTAGGGGTTCAGACACCCCTGAACCCATCCACAGATCCCCCAGGCATCCACGAGCCTCAGTTATTTCTTGCCACTTTCACTGTTACCAGCCACGCTGCCCTCATTTCTCCCCTAGGTTATAACAGTAGCCACGTAACTAGTCTCCTGACTTCTCTACATGGCAACCAGCACGTGGCTCTCTCTCTCATTCCTTCAGATTGTTCCTCATGTGTCACTTTCTCGGTGAGGACCTATATTTGAAACTGCAACTTTTCCCAATATACTATGAGCTAAGCATTTAGTTTTATATTTCTCTAGTAAAAAAGTAAAAATAAACAGGTGAAATTAATCTTAAATTTTATTTAACCCAACATGTCTTGAAAAATCATTTCAACATGTAATCAATAAAAATATATTATTAATGAGATGTTTTACTTTTTTTGTAACAAGTCTTTGAAATCGATGTGTATTTTTCATTTTCAGCATATCTCAATTCAGACTAACCACATTTCAAGTGCTCAATAGCCACATGTGGCTAGTGATTCAGCACAGGGCTAGGGGAAAAGACAGATACAGTCAAGGCAATTTTCAGACAGTGTAGTAAATGAAGTTGTAGAGGTATAGTTGTAGTCCTAACTCTGTTGAGCCTCCAACGACCTCCCAATTCCAAAGCCCTTGTTCATTCTGCTGCACATTAGAGAAAACACAGAGAGGTTTTACCCCACATCACACAGCGAAATTGTGTTTGGCATCAGTCAACCAAACTTAATATATCCAAAACAAAACTAATCCTTTCACCCCAAATCCCTTCTCTTCCCCTCTTATTTTCTATTTCAGTTGACAGCACCATTATCTGTCTGACCAAGCTATCTTTATTTCATTAATAAATGAGTACTTTTTCTTAGAAGTTAATTCAAATCTAAATGATTTTCAAAAACACATCTTCCTCTCCGCCTCAATTAACTGAATTTGTTCAAGCCACTTTCATTTCTCACACAGGTCACTACAAGAACCTTCACTTAATTTTTTTGACGGCTAGCTGGTACTGGGATCCGAATCCGTGACCGTGGTGTTATACGGCTGCGCTCTAACCAACTGAGCTAACTGGGCAGCCCTTACAAGGAAGGGCCTTTTAATTGGTGCTCTTGCCTCAGTGTCTCCCCTACCCAAATTCAACAATAATTATTATTCCCTAAGCCCCTTCATGGCTCTCCATACCCTACATAATGAAAGCCAAACACAGAATTCCCTCCAAGACCTGACCTTTGCCTTCTTAACAAGGACCAGTTGTTTGCCATTCCTAGACTCTGAACAAGGTCACCTACCGTGTCTGAGCCTGCTACTCTTTTGTAAAAGTAACCATCCCTAATTCTCATAAAGCTGACTTGACGTTTAAAAGAGATAACACACTTTAAACGATATACAAGCAAGGGGTTACTACCCCCATCACTTCTTTACACTTTGTATCTTCCTATTTACTATCTATCTAGTGCCTCTTTTCAAGTCAATAAAAGTTACTGAATACTTACTATGTGCTAGGCTCTGTGTGGGATACAAGACAGAGGGACGAGAAAACAGGTTGAATGACGCGATTTTTGCCTTCCCCAAGCTCATTACAACAGTTTCTCAACCAGTATCTTTAAGGACTAGATAATCTCTAACAATATGAGAAAATCAGGGGGATCCTCGGCAGTCAGGGCCAGGCTGTGCACCGTAGCGCCGCCAGGTCGTCTAATCTCCGCTTTCTCCCGCCGCGATCCCAGATGGGGAACCACCCCCAAACCCGACTGGCCGAAACAGACCACAAAACACGGGGCAGGCGGGGACAGGTGCGGTCTGGCGGCTGGGTCCTGGATTTTGCGCCTGCGCGCTGCCGCCCGCTCAAGGACCCGGATTTAAAGAGACAGGAGCTCCAACTGTCGGTAGCAGCCCGAGGCCTGTGGGCGCCTGGTCCAGGCCTGCGGTGAGCGCCGGAGCCGGGGAAGCAGGTGAGGGGCGGCGCGGCGCGGCGGGGCCCGGCGTGGGGTGGAAAACGGGCCGGGGCCCGGAGCTCGGCGCGGCCTGGGAGACAGCCCCTCGGCTCCTCCCCCGCCCGCCTGCGGAGCCCGGGGGCACACCCTCCGTGAC